AGTGCACCAGGGTAGTCCTATCCTGAGCTCTACAGCCTCTACCCTGGTGGGGCAGGCTGGGGCCAGAGCAGCTGGAAGTCTCTTCCCTGGCCAGCATCCCTACCCTGCATCTACAGCACCTCCTGCGGCCATATGGTTGAGGGCAAGTGAAACTTGGGGGCATCTGAACCCTAAGCCTCTGGGCTTGGGCCTGCACACAGATGCCTGCCAAATGATCTGGAAGTATTTGAAGCCCCAGGTGGGGGTGCAGGGTGCTTGCCGGTAACAGGGCCACTTAATGGTTCTCAAATGACTCACAGATTTGGAATTGATTTGGCTTGGAACACACAATTTTTTCCTTGAAAAAGAAAAAAACCCTCCAGCTGGGAGCCCCATCAGGAGCCCCTGCTCTTGGCGCACAGCCCCCTGGCTGGGGCTAGGGTAGCAGGAAGCTCTTCCCTGTCAGCCCGCAGTCCTACCCACAGCCTGGAGCAACCCTGGGAGAGGCTGGACCTGCCAGGGCTGTGGTCAGAAGAGAGCTCTGCCCGCCTGTGGCCTGTTAAGGAATTCCCGGCTGTGCCAGGTGGAGACGGGCTGCTGCTATCCTCCAACTGGGGAGCCCTGTGCTTGGGCAGGCGGGATCGAGGGTTCTCAGGCAGCTGGGCGCCCCGTCCTGCGCTGGGGCTGCCCAACAGGGCAGGGGGCTCCAGGTCCAGCTGTGGCAAGGACAGGCTCCTTTCCAGGGCGCACAGAGCCACAGGCTGACTGCGGTGCAAGGCAGCAAGCCCAGAGCCAACAGGAGGGAGTGGGCAGAGCCCGTGGCACTGGGCGGGAATGTGGCATTGGTGCAGCCTGGGCTGTGGTCAGAGAGGCAGGGGGCCAAGGACGGTTCAACCCAGTGGGCACAGGCCAATGGCAGAAGTAGAGCCAGGGAGCTGGGGCACGGCTTCCCTGCTCAGTTAAGTTCGTTAAGGATGACCCGCAGCTCATTAGTGAGAACACGGTTTTTCTCCGCCTCCTGCTGGGAGCGCTCTATGGAAAACAGAGGTGTCAGCAGCAGCAGCAGGGAAAGAGAGAAAGAGAAAGAGAGGAGAGTGTTAGTGCAGAGAAAGTCACGTTAGTGCAAGAGAAAGTCACGTCAGCAGAGACCAGAGCCAGGCAGGGACCTGTGTTTGCCTCAAAGGAGAAGCGGTGGGGCCTGGGGAGAGCCTGGAGCGAGGGGTAGATCTGGGTGGGCATTTAACTCATCCTGGAGGGGGTGAGCCCGTTCCTGGGATGGGGCAGACTGCATGGGGGAGATCCAGACTGATGCTGAGCTGAGCTCTGGGCCAAGAGTGTGAAGCTCCAGGGATGGGGGAGTTTCCCTTCTTCAAGGAGGCATGGTGCTGCCCCCCCACCCCAGGCACTGGGGCAGGGGCCAGGCAGGGTGACAGGGGCTGTTTGGGGTAACTCCCGGGCAGAGCAGGAGATGGGACCACATCTATGCTCAGTTCAGCAATGATGGAGTCACAGGACAGGGAAGAAGGATTGACCCCAAGAGTGTGGGCCCTCGCAGGGGCTGTTGTCCTGCCCCGGGGCTCCCTCCTAGGCCAAGGGCAGGCATGAGAATGAGACAGCAGTGGAAATGAGAGTGGGAGTAGAGGGAGGGAGGCAGCAGCATGAAGAAACCAAGGAGAAATGGAGGAAAGAAAATGCTTTATTGAGACCAACTCAGTGGGACAGAAGAGAAAGGAAAAAAGTCATGAGATGCAAATGAAACAGCAATGGGCAGAGGAGAGAGGATGCAGCAGCACCAGGGCAGCCCCCACCCCACCCCACCGCAGCAGGGATGTGGCTTTTGGCCAGGTCAGCCCCAACAGTGGCTGAGCAAGCGCATATGCTTGGATGACACAGAGCCCCAGTCCTCCCCTCCCAGCCCCACTGCAAGCATCTTGCTCGGGCTATGGCTCCTGCTTCCCCTGCCTCCTGCACAGCCGCCCGGAGCCCCAGGGCTTGGCCCCCCAGCAGGGCAGGCGGTGGGGCCCCTCCTGCTGTACCAGTGGGCCCCTAAACCCAGCACCTCCTCCAGGCTGTGGCTGACAGAGGGGGACTCCCTGGACAGGAGGCAGCAACACAAAGCAGGGCTCCCCCCTCCCCCCCAGGAGCTTCCCAGCCCCTCGCCTGAGCACTCACACCTGACAGCACTGGGGCCTGAAGACAGAGAGAGGACAGACAGATGGACAGGCAGGCAGGCAGACAGGGGGGCTGGGTGGGGAGCAGCCAGGGTGACCCAGGGGCAGGCAGGTGGGGGCAGGATGGATGGACAGACAGGCAGGGCAGGGCAGGGCGTTGGTGTGCGAGTGGCTCAGAGGGAGGTGATGTCGTTAAGTGCATTGTCCAGCTCCTCGCTGATGGCCTTATACTTCATCTTCTGGGCATACACCTCGTCTACAGGCAGGAGGAGGGCGCGGGGGCACAGTGTGGGGCAGAGCAGGACAGTGAGGGTGCGGGAGGCAGGGAGTGGTGGGAGAAAGAGAGAGAGTGAACGTGAGAGAGTGAGAGACCCCAGTGCAGGAGGACGGGGCTGGGGCAGGCCACACGCACACGCACACACCTGGCACGGGCAGGCAAGGCCCCCATGGCTGCCGGGGGCCCCGCGCTCAGCACCTCCTCCCCAGCACATTCCCCCATCACCCCTTCCTGGGGCCTGTGCCCTGGGCCAAGCTGCCTGCTGGGCCTGCCCGTGGTCTGCGCGGCCCAGAATCAGTCCTGTCTGAACCACCACAGTCCAACTGCCCCGATGGGGCAGCACAGCTGCTCTGGGGGCCAGTCTCCACCCTCAGGGGCAGGGGTTCCTTCCTAACCCTGACCCAAGCTCCCCCATGCTGCCACGTTGGCCACGGCTCCCCAACCCGTTCCCCACAGCTGCAAAAACTGCTTCCATCCTTCATGTAGCCCTATTGCACCCTGGGGTCCCCCACATGCCTTGCCATGGCCGAGGCAGACCTTCCTTGCCTGCCTGGCACCCCTCAGCGCCCTGCCCCCTCCCTGGCCCCTGGCTGCAGGCATGAGTGCGGTAGACCAGGCGCATGCCCAGGGTCTGAGACCCGGGAACAGCTCGACTCATCAGAGGTGCGTTACCTTCCAAGTCATCGATGGTCTTCTCCAGCTTCGCCACCGAGCGCTCTGCAAACTCCGCTCGGGTCTCAGCCTGCAGTGGGAAATGGGTGTCAGCTCCAGGGCCAACAGGGTGGCAGCTGTGGCAGGCAGGAGCAGGCCACGGACCAGCACTGCTCATGCACGGATCCCGATGCAGGACTGGACCTGGTTTGTCCTGGCACTGGGTACTGCCAGGTTGTCTGCACCTGCCCCAGGACTCGCTTCCCAGTCTCTTGGGAGCTGATTCTTCCTGGTTTGCTGAATCCAAGCTCTGGGTGGGCCTGGACCCTCCCTGCCAGTCTTGCGGCAGTCATTCACTCTGGAACCCCAGACAAAGTGGGGTTCAGACCCTGGCTCTGCCCCTCACAGGGCTGGCAGCAATATGGCTCCACCCCAGGGCAGCGGCACCTGCGCCACCCTGGTCCCCAGGGCTGGCGCTGGCCTCTGCAGGCATGTAGGTCACCTGCCCACTGCAGGGGTGATAGGAACTGTGGACAAGGGTCTGGATCCACCCAGGTTTGGGTTTGCTGATCCAGGGTGGCCACTGGTCCAGGAGCCCAGGCAGGGCCGGGATAACACGGAGGTCTGTGCCCTCCGCACTCTGCTCCAGGGCCTCTCACCTCTTTCAGTTTCTCTGTTAGAATCTTGATCTCCTCCTCGTATTTGTCTTCCTTGGTGGAGTACTGCGGAGAGAAACACGCGTGAGCCCTGCGGCACCGGGCTCCCTCTTGCGCGGGGACCCCATTGCCCATCCCGCTCACTCCCTCCCAGCCCCAGGGGCAGGCACTGCTGCCAGGCCAGCTCCTACCTTGTCGGCCTGGGCCTCCAGGGACTTCAAGTTGTTGGTGACAATTTTCAGCTCTTCCTCTAGGTCCACACATTTACTACATCCCAGGGACAAGGGACAGCAGAGGAGACAGAATGGGAGAGGACAGCAGAGAGGGAGCAGGGAGCGAAGGAAGGAAGGAAGGAAAGGAGAGAAAGAGAGAACAAGTTCGGAGGACAGAAACCGGTGCAATTGGGTGGAGAGGAAGCGACAGCTGCCATGGCCCGTGCCCTGCATCCACATGTCTGGTGCCCTTGTGACAGTCGTCCTTGCTCTCCTGCAGCCACTCATGTCCAGGAGAGTCCAGCAGCCACATGCACATGTGCAGCCCAGGGGAGCAGGCTGCTTTGTGGGCAGGGGCAAAGGTCTGGGTGGGTCACCTGCTCAGCTGTGGCCAGGACAGGTACGTGGGAACCTGTAACCATCACCGATGCCAATCCCAACCCAGAGGTTTCTCCTTCCACAGCCCCAGAGGGCTGCAAGGGGGGGGGAGGCAGGTGGGGGAGGACAGGCCATGAGGCTTCCAGGTGCGGCCACACCAGCATCAGCTCCAGGCATTGCCTCCACCTGCCTGCCCCAGGGCCCAGGCCCAAGGCAGCTGCAGGACAGCGAGGAGCAGGAAGCCAAGATCCTTGTGCAGAAATGGGGGGAGAGAGGATGCCAGAGGAACAGAGAGGGGCAGAGGAAGCAGCATCTCCTGGCCCTGCCCAGTACCTCTTCCTCTGAGGCCATCAGGGACTTGAGGGTCTGGTCCATGGTCCGCAGCTCTTCTTCCAGCTGCCTCATGCGGCTGCGGGGAGGGGGCATCGTGGGGAGGTGGGGAACCGAGCAGAGAATATGGTCAAACACTCGCTCCTCACACTTGGGCTCCAGCTGGGCACGAGGATGGGACGGGACAGGACAGCAGAGCCATGGGGCAGGTCTGGTGGCCAGGCAGAAGGTGCAGGGGTCCTGGGCCAGGCCCAGCCCCAGGAGCCCTCGGAGCCCAGGCCCGCTGGGCTAGCTGGACTAGCAGGACTGGGCTCCCAGGCTAGTGCCTGACTGGGGTCCCTGCACAGCTCGGGGGTGGAGGTGGCCGCTGGGCCTGCAATCATCATGTGGTCGATCCCCCCCAGATCTTGCGGGCGCTGGCACTCACCTCTCTGCCACCTCTGCCCTCTCCTCAGAGCGCTCCAGCTCCCCCTCAATGACCACCAGTTTGCGGGCGACCTGTCAGCAACAGCAGAGGGGCAGGTCACCCCAGGTGCCTGCGCACACAGCCAGGGTCATGCAGGGCCATGGGGCAGCGCACACATACGTCTGCATGAATGACAGAGGGTGGCAGGGACCCCACAGCACCCAGGCTGGGGGGTGCAGTGAGTGTGTCCCATGGCAGGTGCATGGCCTGGCTGCAGAGGTGCAGGCAACGAGGAGACAGCGTACCACGTGGGCTGGACAGGGGGCCCCATGGCAGGAGCTGCTTCGGTGGGCTCTACTCTCTCTGGATCTCTTCCCGGGGAAGGGGTGTCAGGGGCAGACCCAGGGATCTGGGCACAGGTCCCTTGACGGGAGCTGGGGCCCCAGGGCTTGTGGTCCGGTGCTCACCTCCTCGTATTTGCGGTCGGCCTCCTCCGCTATGTGCTTGGCCTCTTTCAGCTGCATCTCCTGGAGCTCCATCTTCTCCTCGTCCTTCATGGCCCTGTTCTCGATGACCTTCATGCCTCTGATGAGAGCCCAGACCCGACCATCACTGCCACGACCCATGCAGCGCACAGCCCACCCCATGTACCTCCAGCCTACCAGAGCAGCCCCACCCATACCCACGGCCCCCAGCAGACCCGGGCCCCCATCCCAGCAGGGGACCCAGGCCATCTCCCTCCTTAGGGAGCTTGTGCTTAGCGAGTGACGGGGTGACATCAGGACCTACAGTGCCATGGGCAGGGGAGGAGGTGACAGAGCCCAGGCCAGCATCCCAGGGCCCCTTGGTGCCAGCAATGTAGCTGCATCTGCGGGGCAGGGCGAGGGCCAGCAGCCAAACCTCGGCACAGCCACAGGCTGGGCCCCAGATCTGTCCTTTGAGGCGCCTGCAGGAGCGCAGCCTCTCGCCTGGCCGGGGCGAGTGTGGCGCTAGCCAGGTTCCCCTGGCCAGGACTGGCTCCTCGCCATGCTCAGACATAATTTACTCAATGGCCTGAGTTCATCCTGCCCTCTGCTCTCCTCCCTCCCAGCCTCCCACAGCCAAACCCCCGCTCCCCTTGGCCCGTCTCTCCACCTTCCCTGCCCTCAGCCTGAGCAGCGTTAGGGCAGTGGCTGCATCATCATTACACTCCGGAGTTGATGCCCCACGGGAGGGTCAGAGGATGCAGGGCGGGCCACCCTACTCACCACGGCAGGGTCACACATTACCCTGCGGACACTGGGGGCCTTTACACTAGAAGCTGCTGGCCCCAGACAGAGACCTACTGGACCCCAATAGCCTTGGTCACCCAAAAGGCCGTCAGCCTCTGGCAACCCAAACCCTAACCCCCAACCTGTGGCTGCCCTGGGGAGCCAGAGCCCCAGGACAGAATCGGGCAGGAACCGGGTCGCTAGGAGATGGGGGGTGAGAAGCATCTTGGGGGCACATCCTGTCCCTGCCACGCACCGCTCGCTCTCATCAGCTGCCTTCTCCGCCTCCTCCAGCTTCTGCAGCGCAGTGGCCAGGCGCTCCTGGGCCCGGTCTAGCTCCTCCTCTACCAGCTGGATGCGGCGGTTCAGGGAGGCCACCTCTGCCTCGGCCTGGGGGGAAGCAGCACCAGGGTCACCTCAGCATTGCCGGGCCCTGCCCAGACCCGGCCTTGGGGACGGCCAAACACCCAGACCTGGCCCTACACTTGCAGGGGGGCACGGACCGTGTCCCAGGCCTGCCTACCCCTTGGGAGACTGGCTGAGCACCAAGGCCCCTCCACAGCCTAGCACTGAGACCCCCCAACACCCCAAATCATGTGCAGCACCAGGCAGCAGCGAGTCCCAGGGGTAATGGGCACCGGGGACACGGGTCTTCCTGTCCCTGAACATGTGGTGGCTGTGCCAAACGCTCCCAGCCCTGCGCCCCCTCCTCCGCTTCCCCAGAGATACCGGCTGTCCCTGCATGCTCGCCTCTGCAGGTACACCATGTCGCCCACCCCACCGTGCTGCCCACGTGCCCGTACCCCTGCCGGCCCCACAGGGACATGCCTGAGGCTGGGGCCCCATGACACAGGCAGGACACCTCAGACCCACACCAGCATATTCAGGCCCCTCCAGCCCCAGAGCATCGCCTGCTTCTCGACCACACAACACAGCCCAGACCTGGCACCAGCACCCAGCCCTGAGCCAGCCCGGGGACCCCGCACACACGCCCAGGTCAGCAGGGCCGGGATGCCTCCTGCAGCACGTGGCCCGGGCTGTGGCCTGGCGTGGTCCTGGGGCTGTGGCATGAGTAACGGAGCAGGAATGCCCAGCCTGGCCCGCAAGGATTCGCTCCCAAAAAGGAGATGGAACAACTTGTGGATTTCCTGTTTACTGAGGCCACCGGCCCAGCAAGCAGCTCCCACGTGGGACAACCCTCCCCCCGGCAGCAGCTCTGGCGGGGGCAGGCTGGGGAGGGTCAAGAACTGGGGTCCACACTGGCCCCAGGTTGCTTGCTGCTCCCTGCCCCAGCCCCGAGCTGCTCCTTGGCCTCCACCCACCAGGCCAGGCCAGGCCAGGCCAGGCCCAGGCTGATTTATGGCAGCAAGGGGAGGGTCCCGTCAGCAGGGACAATGGAGCAGACGCCTCCCAGGCTGGCCCCTTGCCAAGGCCAGGCTGGAAAGACCCAGCGCCTGGTTCCCAGGCTCCAGGGTGGGAGGGGAACGGGGAGGGCAGAAGAGAGGCTGGGAGCGCAGCAGGGCAGCACTGGTGGGGAGGGCATTGGGAACCAGGGGCAGATGAACTGGGGGCAGGGGTCAGACCTGCCCACCCCCCGTGTGCCGCCCCTTCCCCAGGCTGCAGGGCTGGATTTGAACCAGGACCAGGAACCACAAGGCTGTGCAAGGCCCCGCCAGGCCCCAGGGCATGGGGTTGTGGGGGTGAACAGCTACCCCCGCCCACAGCACTGGGCCCCTGCAGACGGCTGACTGGAGCCCCTGCCCGGCCACGCCAAGGCCTGGGTCTGGGGTTTCCTGGCGCTTGGGCACAGAGCCGTGGCAGCTCCACGTGCTGGGAAGAGACTGGAGTGGGACAGGTCTGGCTCCAGCTCCCAGGCTGGTCAGGCCTGGCCTGCAGGATGCAGGGCAGCAGAAGCCCAACGTGGCCCTTCCACAGGGCTGCACGGCCCCACTTGCCAGAGCTGGGGCCAGGGCTGGAGCTGGGTGGCCCACTGCCCCTGAGACCCCTCAGCTGGGCGCCCACGGACCCTGGGACTAGGGTAGGCCCAGAGACAGCAAGGGCCCTGCTGAGCTAGCAGGTCTGCACCTGGGGGGCTGGAACCAGGGAGGGGGTGCGGGAGGGTGGGGAAGGCCATGGGGCAGCAGCCACCAGCCCCGGCAGCCAGGGCAGGAGTGCGGAGGGAAGGCCCCTGGGCCCAGCAAGCCCAGCACCTGTGGCAGGACCCCCCCTGCGCCAGCCGCTGCCTCCACACTACTGCCTTCAGCCCTGCAGGGACCAGGCTTTCGCCCATCCCCGCCCTGCCCAACCTGGCTCCCGGCTGCCAGCACCAGCCGCTTGCCCGCGGCGCCCGGAACTGGGTCAGCGCCTCGATCGGCGTCACACCGTGGGGAACCTGAGCTCCCCGCACCGCAGACAGCTGGGAGGGCGAATGCGATCCAGCACCAGGGCCGAGGCTGCAGCCACCTGGGCTGGGCTGGGCACAGCGCAAAGGTGCCACCTTGCTCCAAAGGCATGCCGAGGGGCTGGCGAGAGCGAGGGGGGCTCTGCACAGTCGCTGCCCGGCTGGGCGCAGGGGAACTTGGTGCAGAGCAGTGTCCAGAGCCTGGGGGCAGCTGGGCCGCAGGCCTCGCCCCGAGGGAGGTGCCCGTGGCATTAGGAGGCTGTGGGAAGAGCCCGTGGACCCGCAGCCCGTGCCCCGCCCAGCGGCCCCTGGCC